GGGAGCCGGGGGGAGGGGCGCTCGGGTCCCGCCGGGCCGGGGCTTGTATCTTACCCCCTTCGCAAGGCACTGGGTTCTTGCAGGTGTGGATGTGGTCTGGATGTTGTCCTGTGTCCTGTGGTCTCTATTTTAGGAAGATTTTTCTTTGTTACATTTTCATAGCTCTATGTGTTTTTGGGAGGAGATTTCCACTGCTCTACTCACGCCGCCATCCTGGCTCCGCCCCCTCAGCTCATTTATTTTTAAGTGTAATTTTTGGCTTATTATTTTTTATTAGGTATTATTGATATACAATCTTAATGAAGGTTGCACATGAGCAACATTGTGGTTACTACATTCACCCATATTATCAAGTCCCCCCAACACCCCATTGCAGTCACTGTCCATCAGTGTAGTAAGATGCTATAGAGTCTTTAAGTGTATTTTTAAGTATAGTTGATTTACAATATTATGTTGGTTTCAAGTATACAACATAGTGATCCAGCAGTTACACACATTATTAAATCCTCGTCCCCACTAGTGCAGTTACTATCTGTCAACAAAGAAAGATGTTACAGAACCATTGACTATATTCTGCTTGCTGCACTTCCATCCCCATGACCAACTTATATTATGATTGAGATTTTTGTGCTCCTTTATTCCCCTCACCCTCCCCACCGACCCATCCCATCCCCTCCCCATAGTTAACACCAGTCACTTTTCAGAGTCTGTGAGTCTACTGCTATTTTTTTTTTGGTCTTGATTTTAGATTCCACATATAAGTGAAATCATATGATATTTGTCTTTCTCCACCTGGCTTATTTCACTGAGCATAATACCCTCTAGCTCCATCCATGTTGTCTCAAATGGGAGAATTTCTTTTCTTTTTATGGCTGAATAATATTCCGTTGGGTATATGTAGCACATGATTTTCATCCATTCAGCTATTGATGGACTCTTTGGTTGCTTCCATATCTCGGCTATTGTAAATAATGTGGCAGTGAACATAGGGATGCATATATCTTTTCAAATCAGGGATTTTGTTTTCTTCAGGTGAATTCTGAGAAGTCAGATTACTGGGTCATATGGTATTTATATTTTAAGTTTTTTGAGGACCCTCCATACTGCTTTCCATAATGGCTGCACAAATTGACATTCTCACCAACAGTGTAGGAGGGGTCACTTTTCTTCACATCCTCACCAACACTTGTTATTTCTTGTCTTTTGGATAGTGGCCATTCTGACTGGTGTGTGGTAATATCTCATTGTGGTTTTGATTTGCATTTCCCTGATGATTAGCAGTGTGGAGCATCTTTTCATGTGCCTGTTGGCCATTTGCAATTCTTATTTGGAAAAATGTTCAGGTCGTCTGCCCATGTTTTAATCAGGTTATTTGGTTTTTTGGTTTTAAGACACATACAGTTTATTGTATGTAAGCTCTATCTCAGAACTTTCAAGTTCAATCTAACACTAGTAAATGAAAACTGTCTGACTAAATGAAATAATTTGGAAACTACTTTGCTTAAAATAAAACCACAGTTAGTTTATACAGTTCTGTTTCTTCTGGTTAGCTCAGAAGTGAGGCAGGTAACACTGGACTTGAGTGAAATAGCAGCACGACCTTTTCAGGCTATTTAGGAACATTGTGACAATAATTTCAGGAAATGTAGGCAACACTAATGAATGCATTACAGGGTGCTGACTGTATTGGTGAGTTTATAGATTTTGAAAAAGAAATCCACCTACAAAAGCTGGGATAACCTTCAAATTGTAAGTAAAATTAATTTTACTCAATAGGAAAATCTTTCCAGAAGAGAGACTACAATAGGAAAGAGAATAATGAAATGTAATCAAAGAGAATGTTGGTTTTTTGCCTCTTTCTTAGGGGATTTCTCAAATGATATATATGAGAAGTTGCTTCTGCTGTATGAGTTTGAAGTTAAATCCAAAACGAATGATCCATTCCTGGACAGCTTCCTAGAATCAGTGTGGGACCTGCCTCATTTAGAAAGTAAAACATTTGAAACAATTGCAGGTAAGAGCTATATTTATGTTTTTGGATGACTGGTACCATTTAAATCACACTTTTTTCTTTCTTCTCTCTATTCTTCTCTCTCACCTCCAGGAAGCAATGTTTTCTCATAGCACTTTGTTTCTCTTTCTCTCATTCAATGTCTTCTTGAATTATTTTGTATTACAATTATTTGTGCATTTATCTTTTTCTTGATGTGAGATTTAATCTCTTTAGGGCCATGAACAATAATTACTTATATTTGTTATACGTGTAAACACAAGCACAGTACACTGTTCATAATAGATGCATATTCTATGTGTGGAATTTAATGATTTAACTACACAATAGGGGGAGCTCAAACTTTAGAAAATTAATTTTGCTCAGCTAGCTAGAAATGATAATCAACTGCCTCACTAATCAAAGGTGATGCAATCTTAGCAATTTATTACAGTACACAGAGAAATATTGGAAATATTTTCTGGCACAATTGCCACCCTCAAATTTTTGGTTGGGTATAAGTGGTATTTGGGGGAGCCAGAGCCTCTATAGGGATACACTTCAGGAAATGGCATAATTATCTTCCTTCTTTTATCTATCTCTCACCTTCCTCAGGATCCTGTGTATGGTAAGTAAAGTTATTAGGTAGCCCCAAGTGCACAGAATTCCAAGAGACATGTCTTGCCAAGACAGACTTCCTAGAGACATGGAGCAAGTGGTGTTTACTTTATGAATGTGTGATGGTGACCACTGCTCCTTGCATAATGGGTCCCCAGTTGTAGAGGCCTGGTAAATGCATCTGGAAGTTTAAGGGTTTGTTATCTCTGACACTCACTCTCCTGTGAAATGTTTCCTGTTTTGAGTATCAGACAAGAACAGTATATTGCAGTATAAATGTTTTTGATTAATGCCCTTTACTGATGTGTTTCCATCTTAGTGTGCCCTTCCTTAATGCTGGTTTATAAGATTATTGCTTCACCTGTGTGACTATGTTCATGGTCACAGAAACAGTAGGTTCCCCGTTGACGTATGCTAAACAAAAGATATAACCTGGTAATTCTACTATGTTACTCTGCCCAGAAAATAGACACTATCTCTGAAAGCCACAATGGACTTGTCATTTTATAAAATTCTTTTTTATATTTTTGTGTGTGTGTTTGTGTGTTTGTTTTTGTTAATCTGTTTCAGACCAGTTTCTTTAGAGAATGCAAGTGGTAGCCTGGGATGAAAACTAATGGATGTGATTATGGTGTTCACAGTCTTTTTTCTTCCCTTCCTGTAGGATTAGCAATGGAAATGCCTGCACACTATCCTACCATCGCTCTAAAGGCCTTGAAAAGGGCTTTATTGCTCCACAAAAAGAAAGAACCAATTGATGTTTTGAAATACAGGTTAGTAAACATAATTCAATACTCAATCCAGGCTTTTTGATAGCCAAAAGAGCTCTAGTCAATATCCTGTAAGTCATCAGTCATACTCAACTGGCATAACTTGAATGATAAGGCTATTACTCCTGTACTAAAATTCCCTCATAACAGCTCTATATTTAGGGTAGTATTATAGGCCAATAATTAATTAGCTAAGTGAAGGAGTCTGACTTTCCCAGAAGATAAGAAGAGGGGAAATTTGCTTCTTTGTGTGAGTCTGTGTGTATAATAAAATTTCTAGGTACCTCTCTTTCTTTGTATCATTAGTATGCCAAATGTACAGAAAGTAACAAACACCAGTGTGTCCACCACCCAAATGTAACAAATGTTAGCATTTTGCTATATTTGCCTCAGATTTTTTTCTAAACACCTTTCTTTAAGGACCATTAAGTGCTGTAACATAACATATTTTTGTAGGAGATTTTATGTTCTCCATGACTAGACATGGGGGAAAAATAGATGTGTGATTTTTCTCTGAAGAACTTCATTAGTTTTCCTTTTCTGACACATGAGAGATAGTTCTCATGGAATTATTCCCAATTTATATCCCAATTCCTTTACCCATTTGGGGATGTGGTGAGGTGCTTTAAAGTGCCTGTAGATCACACCAGCTCACAAAATACAGTAAAGAGCCATGACTCCTTAGTGCAGGACACTAAAAAAAAGTGAAAGACAACCATAAGTGTAATAAAAGGAAGGACTGGTCAGCACCTTTTATAGTTTCACAAATCTGTCTTCTGAGGTTGGAGGCCAGATAAATTTGAGGGAAGAAGAGAAGTGTTTTGAAGTACTTACTTGGGGATGACATTCAGATTTTACTTATTTTATCCATGAATACAATGATTTCTTTCCTTATGGGATGAGTTTTCTCTTTCTGATTTCAGCAAATGTGTGCACCGTTTGATCAACCTCTTGGTGCCAGATGGGGTGCCAAATGCAGAACTGTGTCCCCTGGAAGAAGTTTGGGGCTATTTTGAAGATGCTCTGAGACTTATTCGCCACACTGTAAGTCAAACAGTGGTCTTAAATTTTCAGCTAATTTTAAAGAACTGTCTTGTGTATTAGAAATTACATAAATAATGCTGTCTGATAATAATTTTACAGTGATAAATTCATATTACAATGTAGTTATGCACTACAAAATTTCCCTGGGTTTATGAAGTGTAAATTGTTAAAAGTAGAAAATTGCTAATACAGGTATACTGTGGTTTTAGGTCAAAACAGCTGTACCACCTGGCATTTTGAATCATTTTGTATTTTCAAAACCTGTCATAGTTGTTACTGCCCCTGTGATGATATTAGCCCTTTGAAAAAGCTTATTCCACCTTTTCTCAGAGGCAGGTAATACTTAGAAGAAACGCTGAAGACCTATTTTTTAGTCCTCCTTCTGATGATTTATTTTCTTTTCAATGCAGTTTTATTCAGTGATTTAAAAATTATCTTTATTGAGATGTAATTTATGTATATAAAACTCACCTATTGTGTGCATACAATTCAGTGATATTTTAGTTAATTTATAGTTATGTAACTGTCACCACAACCCAATTTTAGAATATTTCCATTATTCCAAAAGTTTCCTCTTGCCCATTTTCAGTCAAATCCCTGCCCCCACCTTTGGGCTTAAGCAACCACTGATCTGCTTTCTATCTCTATAGATTTTCTTTCTGGATACGTCACATAAATGGAACCATACAGTATATGACCTTTTCTGTCTGGCTTCTTTCAATTTAGCTTAATGTTTTTGAGGTTCATCCATGTTGTAGATTGTATCAGTATTTCAGTCCTACCTATTGCTGAATAAATAGAATATTATAATATGCTATTAAATGAATATATCACATTTTGTTTCGCCACTCACTAGTTGGTTGACATTTGAGTTGTATCCACTTTGGGACTACTGTGAATAATGCTGCTCTGAACATTTGTGTCCAAGTCTTTGTGTGGACATATGTTTCCAATTCTGAGTACATGAATTTCTGGGTCATTTGTTAGCTCTGTTTAACTTTTTGTGTAGCTGAAATCTGTTTTCCAAAGTGACCACACCATTTTACATTCCTGCCATCAGTGTATGAGGATTCCAATTCTCCACATCCCCTTCAACACTTGTTATTGTCCACCCTTTTGTAATAGCCATTCTAGTGGGTATGTAGTGGTAGCTCATTGATTTGCATTTCCTTGATAGCTAATGGTATTGATAATTTTTTTCATGTGCTTACTGACCATTTTTATATCTTCTTTGGAAAAGTATCTATTCAATTATTGTCCCATTTTTAAAATTGGATTCTTACTGAGCTGTGAGAGTTCTTTATATATTCTAGGTACAAATCCTTTATCAATATACAATTTGTAAATATTTTCTCCCAGTCTCTGACTTGTCTTTTCATTTTGTTAATGGCATCATTTAAACTGTAAACGTTCTGAATTTTGATCAAGTCTAATTTGTCAAATTTTTCTTTTATGGGTCATATTTTTGGACATGATAAGAAATCTTTGCCTATCTCAAATTTACAAACACTTTCTCCTGTTTTCATGTGGAAGCTTTTATACTTTTATCTCTTACATATAGGTCTATAATTCATTTTGAGTTAATTTTTGTTTATGATATAAGGTAATGGTCTCTTGTTTGCTTGTTTTTGCGTTTGTATATCCGTCCTCTGCTGTTTGACTTCAGTTTCCATTTTAAAATGGAAATACCTTTCTCTGACTTCTATACTGAAGTTTTAAGGATCAATTGAAATCATAGTATGTGTTGCAAATTTTAACAGCTCATACACATGTAAGGTAATGTTATTTTAAGGGAGGTATAAAATATTAGGAAGGTTAAATGGCTTCCTTAAAGTCACACAGAAAGTCATTATTTGAATCCATGTTAAATTCCAAGGATCCAGACTACATTTGGCTCAACTGCTTCTTCATGTACAAATACTGGCAAACCACAACACATGGTGGGACACTATAGCAGGGTGACAACATGGTACAAATTAACATCAACTTGTAGAAACTTAGAGTGCTCCTGGAGCTGTGTAATTATGGCCTATTTGAACTCAAGTGAAAAAAAAATTTAGCTTTCAACATTTTGGATATATATGTTTTTTACTTTCTTAGGTGAAAAAGAAAATTCAGTTTCTAAGCCATGAGCCTTATCTTGAACTTCAGATGTATTTGCCATAGTAACAAATACAAAATAAAATTAAACTGTACTATAAATCTAAATTGATCAATTTTCCTAGTCTCTATATAAGGCCATAACTACTTTCTTTTGAACATTTTGTTTTTGCCACTTTTATTCAAATATATTACTCTTCCATCCCTCCGGTTCTTGGGTTGCCTGTTAGCTTAATGTTTCTCTACTGTTTTGACAAGTCTCCCAAACATTACTACTCATCCCTTTAAATATGATGGGATAGTTAGCTTTTTATGAAGAGATTAATTTAATAACCCTCTTAGCTCTTTATATGGTGTATGTTACTTTTCTTGTTTTGTTGAATTGCTGTGCATCTCCTTTGTTTAGGTGCTTATTTTAAATCCTGTCCTTATTTGACTTTTCTAATGACTGGGCACTCATTCATTATTCATTGAGCAGATAACCTTTATCAAGTGCCACCATACAGTGGCAAAATGGCTATTGCACAAATATAAAACCTCAAGCCTCACAATGTCATGCTTTACATTTTACAAAGTAGTCTTACAACTATTATTTCATATGACCCTGCCCCAACATACAAACAGCAATTCTATGAAATGGAGAATGCTTGTATTATTATATTTGATTAATAAATGAGGACATTTTTTATCTATTTTTTATTAAGGTACAATTGATAAACAATCTTATAAAGGTTTCACATGAGCAATATTGTGGTTATTATATTCACCCATATTATCAAGTCCCCCAGACACAACCCATTGCAGTCAGTCACTGTCCATCAGGGTAGTAAGATGATACAGAGTCACTACTTGTCTTCTATGTGCTATACTGCCTTCCCCATGACCTCCCTACGTTATGTAATGCTCCTTAATACCTTTTTCCCTCCATCCCCATCCACTTCCTTTGGTAACCTCTAGTCCCTTCTTGGACTCTGTGTCTACTGCTGTTTTTTTCCTTCCATTTTGTTCTGTTGTTACACTCCAAAAATGAGTGAAATCATTTGATACTTGTCTTTCTCCACCAGGCTTATTTAATTGAGCATGATACCATCTAGATCCATCCAAGTTGTTGGAAAGGGTAGGATTTGTTTTCTTCTTATGGCTGAATAATATTCTGTCATGTGTATGTACCACATCTTCCTTATCCATTCATCTACTGATGGACACTTAGATTGCTTCCACTTCTTGGCTATTGTAAATAGTGCTGCAATAAACATACGGGTGCATATGTCTTTTTCGAACTGGGCTCCTGCATTCTTTGGGTAAATTCTTAGCAGTGGAATTCCTGGGTCAAATGGTATTTCTATTTTTAGGTTTTTGAGGAACCTCCATACTGCTTTTCCACAATGGTTGGACTAATTTACATTCCCACCAGAAGTGTAGGAGGGTTCCACTTTCTCCACATCCTCGCCAACATTTCTTGTTGTCTGTCTTTTGGATGGTGGCCATCCTAACTGCTGTAAGGTGATATCTCATTGTGCTTTTAATTTGCATTTCTCTTATGATTAGTGATGTGGAGCATCTTTTCGTGTGCCTGTTGGCCATCTGAATTTCTTCTTTGGAGAAGTGTCTGTTCAGATCCTCTGTCCTTTTTTTAATTGGATTATTTGCTTTTTGTTTGTTGAGCTGTGTGAGCTCTTTATATATTTTGGATGTCAAAGCCTTATTGGATATGTCATTTATGAATATATTCTGCCTTACTGTAGGATGCCTTTTTGTTCTACTGATGGTGTCCTTTGCTGTACAGAAGCTTTCCAGCTTGATATAGTCCCACTTGTTCATTTTTGCTTTTTTTGTGTGGACATACGTTTCCTGGGGAGATACGTTCATGAAGAAGTTGCTCCTGTTTATGTCCAAGAGATTTTTGCCTGTTTTTTTCTAAGAGTTTTATGGTTTCATGACTTACATTCAGGTCTTTGATCCATTTTGAGTTTACTTTTGTGTTCGTGGTTAGACAGTAATCCAGTTTCATTCTCTTACATGTAGCTGTCCAGTTTTGCCAACACCAGCTGTTGAAGAGGCTGTCATTTCCCCATTGTATATCCATGGCTCCTTTATCGTATATTCATTGACCATATTTGCTGTGGTTAATATCTGGACTCTCTATTCTGTTCCACAGGTCTATGGGTCAGTTCTTGTGCCAGTACCAAATTGTCTTGATTACTATGGCTTTGTTGCAGAGCTTGAAGTTGGGAAGTGAGATCCCCCTGCTTTATTTTTCCTTCTCAGGATTGCTTTGGCTATTCAGGGTCTTTTGTGGTTCTATATGAATTTTAGAACTATTTGTTCCAGTTCATTGAAGAATGGTTTCAGTATTTTGATAAGGATTGCAGTGAATCTGTAGATTGCTTTAGGCAGGATGGCCATTTGGACAATATTAATTCTCCCTACCCAAAAGCATGGGATGAATTTCCATTTATTAGTGTCCTCTTTAATTTCTCTTAAGAGTGTCTTGCAGTTTTCAGGCACATAGGTCTTTCACTTCCTTAGTAAGGTTTATTCCTAGGTATATTATTTTTTTTGGTGCAATTGTGAATGGAATTGTTTTCTTGATTTCTCATTCTGCTAGTTCATCATTAGTATATATGAATGCAACAGATTTCTGTGTATTAATTTTGTATCCTGCAACTTTGCTGAATTCAGATATTAGACCTAGTAGTTGTGGAGTGGATTCCTTAGGGTTATTTATATACAGTATCATGTCATCTGCAAACAATGACAGTTTGGCTTCTTTCTTACCAACGCACATGCCTTTTATTTCTTTTCATTTTTTAAATTTTGGTATCAATAATGTACAATTACATGAGCAACATTATGGTTACTAGACTCCGCCCATTATCAAGTCCCCACCACATACCCCC